ATTTATTTATGAATGTATAAATAATGTAATGATAAAAATGTCTAAAATTTCGGCTAAAAAACTCTTTCTGTTTTTTTTTTTTGAAAATCTTTTTTTTTTTATCATTCATACATATTTGCAGAATATGTCTTCAGCATTTTAGCAGAGACAGTAACAGTTTCAGGAATAGAGCTTATTAGAGCATTAACATAACTGTTGATCGTTTAATTTCGCTAAGTCATCAATATTTTACCATTTCTTGGCGACTTCGGAAGGGGGGGGGGGTGAGGGGATAAAAGCTTCTTGACCACCTCTGACAAAACATCCTCGACTGTGTTCTACATGTGTCCAAGAGACCTCTCTTTGTCACGGTCGGCTAAACTCGGTTACATATTTTTAATTGAAGGGTAGATTTATTCATCAAATAAAAATTATACATGTATAGGTAAACAAAAAGCAACCTGTTATTTTCTAACACAGTATGAGACTACAAATAACTAGAATTCATGTTTATTTTTTTAACACATTTTTTCATTATCGATGAGTATTAGGAAAAGTTATTGCCATGAGTAATAAGTATCATAGATAAAATAACTAAAGGAAAACTGGGACATATTGTCTAGAACCATAGTGCGTTGCATTCGCATATTATAATGAATTATAAGATAGCGATATAAGAAAAATATAAAAGATAAAGAGGTAAAATTTACCCTATCAAATAGTATAATAAAGAAAGGAAGTGGCTCTAATTTTCATGAAATTTTAATGTTCGATGAGGAATTATATTCCCAAAAAGTAAGACAAGAGTTTGCAAGGCAATTGAACACTCCATTATTTCAGTTTGTTCATTAACATATTCATAAACATAAAAACTATAAGAAATTTTGACTATGTAATTCATATTTCAATATGACTGTACCTCGATCTATATTGAGAAATTCAATGTATTATAAGCTCATGAAAAGATGTACACATTTGACTTTTATTAGCTCACCTGAGCCGAGGGCTCAAGTGAGCTTTTCTGATCAAAATTTGTCCGTTGTCTGTCGTCGTTGTTGTCGTCGTTAACTTTTCACATTTTCATCTTCTTCTCAAGAACCACTGGGCCAATTTCAACCAAACTTGGCACAAAGTATCCTTGGGTGAAGGCGATTCAAGTTTGTTCAAATGAAGGGCCACGCCCTTTTCCAAGGGGAGATAATTATGAATTAGAGAAAAATTAATGTCATTTTAAAAAAGTCTTCTTCTCAAGAACCACTTCGTCAGGAAAGATGAAACTCATGTGGAATCATCCTCAGGTAGTGTAGATTCAAGTTTGTTCAAATCATGACCTCCGGGGGTAGGGTGGGGCCAAAATGGCCGATCAAAGTTTTACATACGAATATATAGGAAAAATCATTAAAAATCTTCTTCCAAAGAACCATTCAGACAGGAAAAATAAAACTCAGGTGAAATCATTCTCAGGTAGTGTAGATTCAAATTTGTTCAAATAATGACCCCCGGGGCTAGGATTGGGCCATAATGGCCGTTAAAGTTTTACATAGTAATATATAGGAAAAATCTTTAAAGATCTTCTTCTCAAGAACCACTGAGCCAGGAAAGATGAAACTAATGTGGAATCATCTCAGGTAGTGTAGATTCAAGTTTGTTCAAATCATGACACCAGGGGAAGGTAGGGGCCAAAATGGTCGATCAAAGTTTTTCATAAGAATATATAGGGTTCGAAATCTTTTAAAATCTCCTTCTCAAGTACTTCAAAGCCATGATTAGTGATATTTATATGAAATCATTCTCAGGTAGTGTAGATTCTAGTTTGTTCAAATCATGACCCCCTGGGCGGTTAAGATTTAAGCCCCCCCCCCCCCTTCCAAACTCAGTAAACTTTCATTTCTGATCTGATATTTGCTTTTTCCTAGCCGGTTTGTGCTCAGGTGAGCGCTGTGGCCCCTGGGCCTCTTGTTTATACCCCCCCCCCAAAAAAAAAAAACAAGAAAATCCTGTTCATTTGACTTCTCGCTCTCAATTTTCACACAAATGCATAAAATAAAGAAAAAATTAAAATGCAACCAAAAAATTTACGGTGTCTTTGAATAAAAATTTCCATGCTGAATTGACATAAAAAAGATACTCACCTTCAATTTGCTATTTTTAACCTGTTTTCCCGTTGGTATTTATTTAATCTTATTTTACTTTCTTCTTTATAATAACGTTGGTATTCTATTATGGCAGAGATGTACAATTATGACTCGCTTATACAGTACTCTCTAACTGTTAGGAATAATTTATATTTCACGTGAAAGGGACGCCATACATTTTTCAGTAAAAATACATAACACGGCGTTAGTTGTTTAATTTCTTTAAAGTTTCACATTTTGTGAATAGTACACAAATTAGAAAATTAAGTATATGGAATACTTTAATGGGAAATAAAGACAAACGAAGTGTAGTTATTTGTTTTTGGAAATTATATTGAAAAATAATAACGCCATTGTGTTCTCTTTGTTACCCCAGCAGTGTTTGTCGTGTGATTTTAAATTTATTTGACAACCGTATGATTTGAGTTTAATAAAAATAAATCCACAAGATACTGATGTACAAGTAACAGTAACTGGCATAATGCGTCGTTGCTTTATTCTTTTGTTTTTAAAGCAAGTTGCACGAAATACCCGATTTCGCGGATTCAACGATACCCTAATATCGGGTATTATACGCGATTTCACGGATAATACCCGATTTCGAGTATTCTCTCCGATCTGTTTAAGACAACAATGAGCAACACTTGCAAAGATAATTTTTTTTCTGAGTTCTATATTTGTCACGCAAGGAAACATGGTAAGAGGTGTTTAAATGATTTAAAAGGAATAAAGAGAGGGACAGCCTTGTATATGGAACGCCGTCACTGCCTTAGAGCAGAACACTACTATTGCATTGTGTCAACCTTCCATTACATTATGTCAACTCTTTATGACATTAACCCACATTACTATTGCATTGTGTCAACCTTCCATTACATTATGTCAACTCTTTATGACATTAACCCAAACTACTATTGCATTGTGTCAACCTTCCATTACATTATGTCAACTCTTTATGACATTAACCCACACTACTATTGCATCGTGTTAACTTTCCTTTACATTATGTCAACTCTTTATGACATTTACACATACTACAATTATATTTCGTCATCTTGCATTTCGTTATGTTTACTTTTCATGAGATCTTAGTTTTTATTAACTGATGTGAAAAGCTTATGCCATACTGTGCGCACTCTTCTACATTATGTCGATTCACTATTACGTTATGCGAACACGGGTATCCTCGGCCTTTATATGAGCATAACGTATTTTCTGCGTTCCGCAAGCACTAAAAATGGCGGGAGAGAAAACTGTCGTAGAAGATATTCTCGACGATTTGGGAATGGCATCTTTAAATGAAAACTTTAAGTGACAAATGATTGACAATCTTGAAACGTGCAAAGCCTTAACACTGCGACTGTGAATAAAAGTCACGTCGAAATTCAATGATGTTTACTTTAATCTCATGATTAAATAAATCAAATATGAGTCGTGCAGCAATCATTTTTTTTCTTTTTATTTTGATTCTTTTTTTAATAAAAGTCTTAAACTTTGAAGGACATTGCATTAGTTTCACAATAAGCTTAGCTGAATTAAGTTGAAAACGTTTTTCTTTAAAGCCTGAAAGCTTCTCCTTACCGCCCTTGGTCTTCAACCATATACCGTCCCCCTTCCTTGTTCAAGATTCCCATATCTGCCACTGATATGTGCCCATGCATGCTTACTAAGGCATATTCAATTGATTTAGATGAGCGATTGGTAGATTTTTGTAATAGAATTCTGGCCCTGGAATGATTAAAAAAAATTACTAACTCCAGTGACGTAACATCATTTTTTGAAAGAGGAGGTCAGCCAGAAAAAAAATCATTTACCCGAAAAAACTTGATAAACAAAAAAAAAGTCCAAGCCCGAAAATCCTATTTCGGGGAGAGGGGTCCAACTTCGATCAGTCCTATTTTTTCCCCAGATATATTATATTGCCCTTAGTGGATTATACTTCAACAAAAAGTGGGGGTGGGGGCTGTACAGTTTCAATGAACATTACATTTTCTATAGTAAAGTTATGTTTGGGAAAAGAGGGGGGTTGATATTATATGCCTGTAATTTGTCCTAATCAGGATCCCCCCCCCCCCATTCTTACCAGTCATTAAATCACGGTCGTCAACATTCATTATATACTAGATATACAGCTTTGAGATAATGTAAATGTTTTTTTAACATCAGGTGATGAACTTTTGGAATCAACATGATAAAGAGTTAACACAATATAAAGATATTTTTAAATCACATAAGAAAGAGTTGACATAACGTAATTATATATCCACATCACGGAATGGAGTTTTGACATAATGTAATAAAGTATTGATATAATATAAAGATATATTCACATTATGTTATACACTTTTTACACCACGTAATAAAGCACTGACATAAAGGTAAGATGTGTTCACCTCATATCATGATGCCCTCGCCGTAAAATAAAGATAAATCCATATCACGTAATAATGCTTTGATATAATAGAAATATACACTCTCAAAAAGGAATGGGCTTTTGACTTCGTGTGATGATAAGTTTAATTATAAAACACAATTTACTTGACGTAATGCAATTTTGACCTCACATATTAAAGAAATGAAATGATGTAAAGAAAAATTCATTTCATGCAATAAAGTTTTAACACAATGTAAACACATTATCACTTCACATAATGAATTTTTTACTTCAAGTTATGAAGTGCTGACATAATGAAAGGATGTATTTACTTCATGTAATGCAGCATTGACATGATGTTATGATATATTTACATCACCTCATAAAAAAGTGACTTAACGTAAAGATATGTTCACATCACGTAATGATAAATTCACATAATAGATGCATAATTGTATGCTATAAGGCAGTGATGGCGTTCCATACTTGTAGGTAATTTATACACGTAACCGATGGAAAAATACAGAGCCGGTAAGTATCGCCAATGTTTATATAGAGTAAATGAAATTGTGTTTTACTGACATGTCAATGACTCCATATTTTAAAACTTGTGTAATTTCCTGTTCTGTAAGTTTGTAATGGTGAATGAGCAGGCCCTGGTCGACGGTGACCATTTGCGTTGAGGTACTGCCGCCTTCACCATGGTTCTTGGCACCCCATTGGTGGCGGTTGCAGTTTCATGATTACTCGTAGTAGACACGAGTAGTCATGGCCCCTGCAAGTGGCGTATTCCATCGCAATTGGACGATTGCAACACATTCTTACGCTCATTCCATTGTTTATTGACTTTATTGATATTTGAATTGATTGAATGATTGACTGATTGAGTAATGATTGATTGAATTTGATTGATTATTGAATTAGTGACGTCCATGCACTTGTGACCTACCCAGTGCATGATCCGCCCGATGTGGGTCGTCATATTTGTTGTATTGATTGTTGATTGTGGGGCAGCCCTGTGGTAACCCCAGCAAATTGATCACCGCGGCCAGAAACGCCATATTAAAGAAGCAAAATAACATCCATATTGTTTGTTTGATTTATAGGGAATCTGAAATAAACGATCATATTATGCTAAAACCCATTTAAAATTTCACCAAGATAGGGTCATACCGTGCTAATTCTCAGATCTAGATCTAACATGTATTCGTGTTTTTTTCTCTCAAAAATACGTGTTTCTTTTTGTATATTTGCTGCAATTGGTAAATAAAAATACAGGATGTACATTGCCCTTATTTAAATTTAATTTTCAAAACCAAATAAGTAATGTGCTGTCATAGTTTTTTTTATTGAACAGAGAAATGTACGAGAGAGAGAGAGAGAGAGAGAGAGAGAGAGAGAGAGAGAGAGAGAGAGAGAGAGAGAGAGAGAGAGAGAGAGAGATACCCCCTCAATTCATCTCTTAGATATATGTTGTATCAAATAAAAATTCTTATTATTTTTCCTAAAGATTCCAAGTAGTAAATGTAATCATTTTTTTTTTAGATTGACAAATACATTTGACGGTAAGCATTGGCTTTTATTTTCCTTTATCAAGTTCACACGGTTCACAGGAAGTCCACGTGCTTGTCCTGTCAATCAAAATAATTCGACACAGTGGAGGTGTGGACATCGCGTTTCACCGAACATGTCGAAGGCAAAGAGTCACTAAGTATTTCCAAGAAGTTGTTATATTTTTTCCTGTCATTTTGTAGATCTGATTTTTGCATTCCTGCAGAAAAAATAAATAAATAATGGGAATATATACATTTACTTGGAAGGATTAAGTTTTAAATTGAATTTGAAACATTCCCTGCCAATTTAAAATACTACTTTCGGATAAGTGTATTCTAAAATACTATTGTTTAATAACTGTTTGATGTTAGTTTTAAGACTGATTTTCTTGTGTTATAATACACATTAAATAATAATCAAAATATACTGAAAATACTCACTAAGAGTTTTATTTCGGGAGAAAAGGCACGGGGGGGGGTCTTAATTATACTGAATGGCAAACATACATTCAGGTACGGTGAATGAAGAAATTTTCCTTCTCTAATAATAGACTATTCTAATCAGTTGGTCTTTTCTAAAATCTAAAATCACACTATCAATTTAATTACCTCTAAAGATATTTAATTATCTGAATATTTGCAGTACTTTTAATACGAGGGGTGATCAAAAAGTTCGCGAACTAATTGAATAACTTCCATAAAAGAAACAATATTTGGTTTCAGTGTTGAATATATTTTAGATTAATCCTCTCCAATTTTAATGCACATCAACCACCGTTCTGCGCATGCCCGAATCACGTGATATTGGCGGTCACGTGACCCCCTCCGTAGCGTTCTGTCACAAAAGTTGAAAAAGATTTTTCTTAGTTTTATATTTCTTTCCACGTGAGTTAATTTTTATAACAAGAACAGTTCATTTGTCAGACATGGTCAAATCTCGGCAACAAAATGGGTGGATAATAATATCCTTTCCAAAAATAAGCATGGCGACCATTAAAACACAAATCTTCTGTCTCGAGAGAGACCTTTATTCAAGGTGGATAGAGAATGGGTGCTTCCTTTTTATCATATCTAATATATTTAAAATCTAAAGTAAACGATATCTTAGGTATTTAATAAGTATATTATTGTTCAAATATTCAACTATTTTTCAAAGTGTAAATTGGAGGTCTTTGATTGCAATTTGCTCAAATAAAAACACATATCTTTCCAAACTTGCTTTCACTGGGCAAGATGACAAGTATCATTTTAAACCATCTGCCTTCCTTCACTAAAACGATCAATCCAATCATTAATTGAATTTATAAGAACTCATTTATCTTAATAAACTGTGTACAAATTATTTTATGATACTGCAGAGAGATTTCTAAGATATGCAATAAATTGTACAGTCATTTGTTGATCGAGTTCGACTGAGACAACCATTTTTCGTCACAAGTGACCTAAATAGTGACGTCATTTTCACATTGTGACGTCAAAAACAAGGAGAAAAACTTTATTCAGTATATGTTATTTATAGACTTTGTGTATGGTTATGTGTGTACCGAATTTCATTCTAATATGAATTGTGGTTTTGTAGATATAGAGATAGTTCGCGAACTTTTTGATCACCCCTCGTAATTCTCAGATTTACGTGTACAGTGTAGTTTAAAATACGTGTTACTATAGAAATAATTTTTTGTGTATTCTTGTCTTGTAAAAGACTTGGATTAATTATTATACATTCATTAATGATTTGTAGTCTTTAACATTACAACAAATTGTTGCCGTATGTGAAGCATTTGTACATTACCCTTTTTAAAATTTAATATTTTAGCATCGTTCTACATACATGTAGGTACTTAATGCATTATTTTCCAGTGAAACTTCATGAATAAAGTAACGGATGAGTTATAATATTAGAAATACAGCGTCGTGCCATAAGTATTCGCGGAAAAATGGCGGACGTGATTTGAGAGTTATCGCGCTTGCAACATAAAAGTCACCCAAATGCAACAAAAACAAAACAAACGCTTACCTTTAATACTTTGTTAAATGTCCCTTGGATCGTATACATGCCATGATGCGTCTTGGGATGGATTTATAAAGGTTTTGAATATACTCTATGGTGAAATTCTGCCAAGTGTGTAAAATAACATCGACCAGCTGATCAGGGGTGGTAATATCTCCGGCGTGATTTTGGATCTGTCTTTTAATTCTATGCCAACAGTTTTCAATGATATTAATGTCCGGACTCTGGGCTGGCCACACCATACCTCGAATATTATTTGCACGTTTATATTCCTCTACAACACGGGCTCTATGTACCGGCGCATTGTCGTCTTGAAAAACGTAGTTGTTTGCAGGGAAATGTCGGGCAATAACAGGCCACAGGTGGTTGTCAATGATATTTATATATTTATCGGCATTAATGTTACCTTGTACCTTGCATAAAGTCCCTGGACCATACCAGCTGATGCATCCCCATATCATTACGGAAACTTTGGGTTTTGAAATCGCATACATGCACTCCGGACGGTACGATTCCTGGGCGGATCTCCAGACATACACACGATTATTTTGCCCTATAACCACTTGAGATTCATCACTAAATATGATAGGTTTCCAGTTTTGTTCAACAGTCCATCTTCGTTTGAGTAAACACCATGCTAAACGTTTCTTTCTATTTACTTCTTTGACAACCATACGTTTTCTCACTACTCTTCTGTAAATTTTGTTATTATGTAAAATCCGCTTGACTGTCCGTTCACTAATAGGTTCACAATAATTTCCATCATTAAAATCAGTTGTTATATCCTTCAAAACACTTCCCCGGTTCTTCCTAACCATACGAAGTAATCTTACTTCACCACGTTTTGACACTTTCCTGGGACGTCCCGAACGAGGAGCTTTTTCCACACTATTTCGCTGATGAAACGTTTTCAAAATTGATCTACATGTAGATTCGGGAATTTTCATAATTCTTGAGATCTCACTTACTTTATGTCCGTTTTCTTTCAAATCTATAATCAGCTGTTTTATCTCTAGTGACAGTTCTTTTGATTTTCTACCCATCTTGTTTACAGTCCGTAATATTCGGCAGTCTAACTTTAGCATACGTCAAACATGACATCACGGTAAACTTTGACCTTACGCAGTTTTGGGGATGATGTCAAAATACAAAAAAGCGATTGCATAAAGATTTAGGACGATTTGAAAAAACGCGAAGCGTGAACGTTTTACGACGGCCGCCATTTTTCCGCGAATACTTTTGGCACGACGCTGTATAAATATCATAGATAATTTTTGCAATGAAATAATTACTCTTCAAACACGATATCTAAGTTATTTAATTAAAAACGTGTAAATCCTTACCATCAAAAAGATAAGTCCTTTCACTTCGGAGTTCCGAATGATAATGAAGACTGAACGATAAGTGAACGGTGAACGCAAGGTGAACGCAAAGTAAATGGAACGAAGAGCGAACGGTGAACACGAGCGCACGGTGAACGGTGAACGCAATACTGTGAACGGAGAGCGAACGGTGAACGAACGCTGAACGAACGGTGAGCGAACGGAAAATGGGAAAGTTGAACGTTTCAGGGAATGTAACATAAAACCAATAACCAATTTTATATTCTTGCATGGAAAGAATTACACTTTGAAAATATTTGTTAATATATCTATAGATTTACGAATATGGAAGAATCATATAAACAGATGAAAAAAAATCAAAATGTGTGCTTAATGTGTAATGTAGGGTTTAAAATTAAAATTTTAATGTGGCCTATGGTTGGGTAACTACCAAGTAATTATGATTAATATTAATTGAAGAGGAGGCTATTTATGTAATATAAAATGTTTTACAACTAAGATAATAATGGGTACACATCAGATAATTGCATTTATTATATTTTCAACAGTGAAATACTGTAATTTATCCATTGAATAAAAGCGATATCCTGTCACAGTGTGAAAGGATATCAAAATGAACATCAGAAGTGCGGGAAAATTCTCGATTTTCCTTCCCTTCACCAAAAGTGTTGTAAAAATACTTCTTAACCTGTTATAAGATAGAAAACAGTTTATAAATCATTCTGTCATAAAATAAAACTGCGAAAGTTCCCCAAATATGTTGCTGAAATTCATGTTTACAATGTTTTTCACTTAGCTATGACGTCTCAACCGCTCAACTATGACGTCATGTACCTAAGACTGCATTACAAAAACACATAGGCAAAGGGAAAATCAAAGAAAATGTAATAAACAGAAAATTCAATGTTTTGTAGTTGAATATGGAATTTATTTCACTCGTGAGACAGGATTTTTTGATATTTTCACTCGTGCTTTGCACTCGTGAAAATATTAACAAATCCTGTCCCACTCGTGAAATAAATTCCATATTCAATTACAAAACATTGAATATCCTCTATTTATCCTATCTTAACCCCACTATTCTGTTCCCTGACTCATTGGATATATTTTTATATTCCACATCATAATTATATAAACATTCGATTTAAATTGCAATATTTAACGCGAAAATACTAGTATTTTTCCCTCAGGCCCTACCTAGTCCCATCGAAGGTCTTTATGTTTTGATTTTTTCTATGTTAAAATGTGTAATTCCTGCAATCTTTTTTTTATTAGCATTTCTTCCTGTGGATTGTAAGGCTCTCCTCGACAACGGGAAGGATCAATCAGGCGTGTATACAATTTATCCTTATGGCACCATTTCAAGTCCCGTCAGCGCCCTGTGTGATATGGAAACACAGGGTGGGGGCTGGACAGTGAGTAGTTCATTTGTTGCTTGTAATTTTAGAAATTTCTTCTGAATATAAACAATATATATATATTGACAATCGAAAACCATTGTCAACCGAGACACACTCAACTACATGCCATATCTAATATTGAATGTACAAAGTCATGTACTTGAGGGTAGTTTTCACACTAAAAATGGCGGCGTAGAGACGGTTGATAAAAGTTCTCGAGATGTGAAAATTTTCAATCTTACCCTTTTAAACATTCAGTATGTTTTATGGTAGACTGAATATTTTATTCAAAAATGTAATAAGAAGGATATGAAGAGAACGAATAGTATTCAATCTCAAAGTCTATAAAACGACACAAAATAAGAGCAGAGCAAACACAGACCTCCGAAACATCTGAGATGGGATCAGGTGCCATGGAGGAGTGAGCATCCCCTGCTGACCGGTCACATCCGCGCTGTTTTCCTAGAAAATTGAGATTAACTATTTAAATCTAATTTTCTTTATAACATTGTGTCTATTATTACCTTTGAAGATGATGTTTCAAGAAACACTGTGGGTAAAAGGATAATGAATAAATGACATTTTTTTTTTAAAAAATCATTCATATACGTAGGTGCCTGAATAAATTTCCTTTCTTTACATAAATTTAAAGGAAACACATCAGTCATTTATCATGTAAGTGTTTTTTTTTTTGTTTTTTGTTTTTTTTTTTTTTTTTACAAATTCATCAGAGCTCGTCTTTTAAAGGTTATCCAGAAAAGAAATCGAGATGAAAACCTTAGCTTTATTAGAACATGGGAAGAATATAAAAACGGTTTCGGAACACCACCAGGAGATGTCTGGATAGGTAAATTAAAAGCAATATATAAATCTTTGTTTTCGATCAAATCCAATTCATCCAAACGTGAATGTTGCATGTGCATACATATTTAATAATCAAAAGCTAATAATTTAGGAGGTCGACATATCATACATGTTACTGTCTCTGAGTAAAAAGTAATTCATGTTGATTGTTATTGGATTTTTATTAAGAAATTTTAGATAAATAAAAGTAAAGTTAGATGAAGGAAAAAATCATTTTGGGTATAGTAAGTGATATGATAGAACTGTTTCCTTTTTAGAACAGGTACCTGAGATATCTTCACACACATGAATATGAATTTTGATTTTTTTCCCTATTCTATAAACAATTTGATGTCCTGTAGAACACGAAAAAATGCTTCTTAATTGCAACACTTCTCACTGATTCTGAATATACTTTATAACAGGAAATGACGTTATCAATCAATTGACAAAGGGAAATGACTCATCTCTCTATGTATCCATAACTCATGTAGATGACACAACAAAGTATGAATTGTATGATCGGTTCTCTGTTTCTGATGAAACAGATAAATACAGACTCTACCTCGCAGGACCTGCCACAGGATCATTAGGTAAGTAATAAGTAATAAGTTATAAGTAACCTAGGACACAGAGTGTTAGAGAGAAAATACGATATACTTTTCATTGTACATGTGCTAATTCATTCTTTTCTTTTTCTTTATTTTTTAAGGTGCTTTTTTCAGTTATCAAAATTCTATAGATTTTTTGACAAGTATAGCATTGGTATCTACACAATAGTATGTTGGACAATATATATTTTTTTCGCTATGATACATTTAATATGACCTTCTTGTTTAAAATTGTGTTTTTCTAGCGCTCTCGAGCGCTAGCAACTATGTAATTCCAAATTCCTTGAATACGCCTGCTCGGCTTCATGGTCGTGCATTCTGGGAAAACTACTATGGATAGACCGTACGATAACAATTTCGTTGTATCATGTTGCAGTATTAAATAACTATGTTTATTTATTGTGTAGTTTATACTTTAAAGATAACTACTATAAAAAAATAAGATGAAAAAAAAAACTAGTAAAAGTCAAAAAGAAAACTAGTAAATTTACTGTTTATACAATCACTACCTTAAAATAGTTTTACAAAGCATTCGGTAGATTTACTAGATAATATTAGTAAATCTAAGAATTTATGAATGACTTTCACTAGGTATTTAAGTATCTTTACGACCACTACTCCACTTTTCACTATCTTACATGTAGCTAGTAAACAGAGTGATTACTAATCATGAAAAATGCTTTACTAGGCATACTAGTTAAATCAACTAGGTATTTCTGTCAGTGTACATATTTGTAATACTTCAAATTTTCCGTTTTTTCTCTGACGGAAAAGCCCGAGTCATCATCTGATTGTTCTAAACAAAGACAAGTTTTTTACGTCTAATTAAGCACAACCAAAGATAGGCTCTAATATCTGTTTGGTCAATATAGCCAATCTTACAAATCCCAGAAACAAGAATTTATGCTAAAAATAACGAATAAATCCATTATTCATATGAAAAAAATTCTGATATGTATGGCTTTTGACCTAACAGTTCTTGACAAAGATGTCCCAAAGCACCAAGCCACTTCACATCTTCACATTCGGAACTCTCTGGATTTCTTTATACAACATACACTTTGAGTTATTTTCTATATTCCTTTTAACAGGTCTGGACGATTTCCAAATATGGAAGTCAAGAACGATAACTGAAAGTTGCTATAAATATCTCGGTAAAGAGAAGATAATAATGCATTATACAATTTAATCATTTACGGAGGTATAAATCACACCACCAAGTTCTTATCAATTATAACATTTACCAGATTATATAATATGTTGGTAAAAATAATTTTGCATAGTCGTCCGATTTTATCGATGATGCTTAAATTCCATCTGTATACATGTAGATCCACTCACACAAGTGTTTATCGTATTGACTACATATAGTTTTAAATCATCACGGGTTCCATGAGCGTCGAATACTAAGCTACGCAGACTTTATAAATGGGCATTAGGAAAGGCATAAAACGTGAAGAGAATAATTATACATGAATGCGTTTTATCCCAGTATCTTACCTCCAGCTCGCACATCAGAAACTGAATGGACTATTTTGTAATAAACACTCAAAAATTAATTAAGATTGTTATCTATTTGATAATATTTTTATGTCAGGCTCTAAAAACTGAAATTTTACAATATTTAAATCCATTTTTTAACGTAAGTTAAACTTTTGTGATTGCTACCTTCTAGTGACAGATATTTTTATCCCACTTAAAACGTATTCTAAGCTTTCAAGTCGTGTTTGTTCATGGTAGAATTATCATAAATATTATATTATGTGACGCGCCAAGCAAAAACCTCCCTTAACGAAGAATTTTGACATTTTCAGTTTTTTATGGATTCTCATAGAGTTTTTCTTTCTCTTTCATTTGATGTATAACATGACATATATTTCTGTATATATATGTATAAAAGATCGCATGACAAAAACGGAATATTTACTTTGACGTACAGTGTACACTTGCGTAACTGAGTGAACTTTCATAACGTAAAATCGTAAAATGACGTAAAGCTATATAAAAATTTGATGATATCTATATTATTAAACTTTTGATTTGATTCCCTTAAAAGTATCAACAATTAAGATTTATTCATCGTAATAATAGAAAATAAACATTCTAAAGTATATCTTTGAGAAACGAAAGACGTGGTATTGGATGGGGTGGGGAGGGGGGGGGGTGGACCGAAATGATTGTCAAGAGAAAAAAAACCTCAAGACAAAATCAAAAATCTTCTCTTCCTCCTGGAGATCTTCCAATTTATGGCTTTTTAACGTAGTAAAATGCAATCTACATCACTGCAATAGTGAAAGAAAATAAGCAACATTTGGATAAAAAAGATCCTACTGTGGTAATACAAGCGATACATGTACGGCTTCTTACAAGCTTGGGCTAGTGTGTTAACCCTTAAGCTTATTCGGTAAAGCACAGAGGCCTCGGATTCAATCCAAATTAAGCAGAGGCACTGAATTGTCTCTGTTACACTATCAAAGTATTTAGTTTAAAAAAGTTCAAGACAGACCTTAACCCCCCCCCTCCCCGGGCATTAAAAGTTTATACAATACAAGGAATAGATAGAAAGTGTTGTCATAGTCCATGTTTTAAATACCTGAAATTTTAAAGAGTGCGACAGGTTTTATTTCTATCTAAAGGAAAAATAAAATTGCTTATATATAGCGCGGTCTTTGCTTTAGACTATGTCCACCCACATGTGCTTATTTTCTCCGCACTTCTGTCGTGTCAGAGTTTGTCAATCAGGATTGGTTGAAACATTTACCCTATTATTTACAAACTTTTGATTTTACAATTATTGTGCGTTTTTGTTAAACATTTAGACACCCTTTTTTAAATATTCTATTATATGCATGTTTATAAATGTTTTTATTTCAATTCTTTTACTCCGCAGAAACGCAGGGCGACTTAAAACTTTCATATCAAATAACCGACCGCCTCCTGTAATGATATTTCCTTCACCACAAGTTAACCATTTACATGTTTTAGTTTCGAATGTTTTAATACTGAAGACTTTTTGGCGTATTGAAAAGATATTCTGCACCCAAGAATAAATTGTATCTGTCTCTTTTTTTATCCTTTTCTTCTTCGGATGTCGTTATAAAATCAGTCTTTAAATTCACAAGAAGGACTTGAAAGTTGTCAAACTTGTTTAAAAAACTCCATTCCGTTTGTATAATTCAATAAATGCGTGTTTAAATCAAATCAATAAAGATTAAGTGCATCAAATTTTAAAGTGTTCAATCATTATTTCTTTGTAATTTTGTAACATTTGATTCATTTTTCCTGACCTTTTGTGTCCTATTTTATATTTATGTTTAAATTATTGAAAATAAGTATATTTAGAATTACTAGTATTTTTGTAACTAAATGCGTCTGCATACTTTTCAGTGAATCAGAATGTAACACCCATCCCCACATTTATAAATCTTGTTAACTAAAAACACTCTGCAATTTATATGTATGAAGTTTATCATGAATTAATTTTGAACCGATCATTGTAGGGTATATAAACCGAAAAACAAACCACAGTACCAAAATATATGTGAATCCCACAAGTGACACGTACACTCCACAACTTCATAGATATAGACATAAAATATAAGGTATATTTAAATGCTAGATTCTTAATATTCTTCGATCATCGTAAACGGGAGGGGGGGGGGGGGGGGGAGCATTAGCTATGGACATTCATGTTTAATTGATTACCTGAATTAATTAAACAAGAACAAGATACACATGTACAATCTTAAGCTGTAACTTTTGTTATTTTTTAAAAAATATATATATAATTAATGGGTTAGTTGATCAAGCATTGTTGTAATTTATACATTTTTTGGATACACGAAAAGATGTATGAATGGCTTATTTGATCAAGCAGGCAATATTCAAGCCGACCAACATATTTTTATGTTCGATAAATCCTTTATCTTAGAATATAGAGCGTTTTGATCATTGACTTAAGTAAAATATATTCCGATATTTATATCCTCCAACTTCCATTTAACATATTTTGTGCAGATTTGTACTGTAAAAAAATTAGAAATAATTTTGCATCAAACTGCCCATACATGTACAAGTACGCATGTTTAATGCAATTTTTGCAGGAAAAATTAATTGACATTGTTAAAGTTTGTTACATGTATACATTCAATAAATCACGTGTAATTGGTATCAAATTTTCATAATATGAAACACATATACATATTTATTTAATTTCTGTTCAACAGAAGGAAACAAGATTATTATTTTCCAAGGTAGATGTCAAATCATGAAATGTTGGTAGTGAAGTCTTTGTCGGGGAAATAATCATTACAGGTTAAATAATCCTTAATACTAAAGGTAAAAATAAAATCATTAAAAAAAGTCTTTAACCTCAAAAACGTTTAATGTATACTTTTATACAGCATTAATTGATGTTTAAGTTAAAAGGGCTGAATGAGCACCGGAGACGTTACTAGATGTACATACAACAGCCTCATTCAGCGATTTTATAAATGACCGAAATTATGATGTTTTTAGAATCCAGAACTCCAGAATCTTCTTTAGTACATGTAGATAAACCATGCACAAAATAATTTTGGGTTGGAATGTTTTAAATGTGTTCAAACAATTTGTATGAATTTTTAACAATTTGTATTAATTATAACATTTTAGCGATGTATCATGTTTGCCATTTTTACATTCGGTGTATCATGTATAACCTCATCGAGCAGATTAAACATATGTTCAATCTGTTTAATTCTCAATCATAAAATATTTTAGATAGTGGGACTATAACTTTCAATGTATGCGAGCTTCCGTATTTGCACGAAGAATCGAAAGAAATAGAGCAGACACGCGACACAGGAGAAAGGGGGGGGGGATTTTTTTTTTCTACATTTTTTGTACAACATGAGAAGATTTTCAACGATAAAATAAATTTAATAGCTCAAGGGTCTTTCAAAATATTCATTTTAAATCAACAGCTAAAACTAATTCCGAAG